GTTAATGGAAAGTTCCCCCGTTTCTAAGGTGCGCCTGAACACTTGGGCGTTGATTTGGTAAATATGAAATTCTAATTAGAGTTGGACTTACCATAATTACAGAGGTGCTAGAGTACAGTATAGATAGCATTCAAACATCATGTTTACGTCTCCTTTTTTTAGGAAATTATTAATCCCAGGATCTCTGTTACATATCATTAGAAAGACTTTCAAATGCTTCTGTGAGTAAACTTTCTTAAGTAAGTGCGGCAAACATCTGTTTGACATCTAATTTGTGGAAGTAAGCAATGGCAAAAGACCATGCTACAAAACATTCTAGGCAGATGAATCAACAGTGCTTGTAACAGCATCTTGGTGTCTTTTCTGAGTTAGTGACTTTAACAGTATGCTTATTTTGTAGTTAAGGAAGAAAATATTTCCATGCAAAAGTGCTTACAGGTTTGTGCAGCCTGCCCAGTTCTGATGATACGATTTTTTGTACCTGGGTACACTCCAGAGCTGTAGCATGAGATTCTGTGTGTGTCTATGTATCTGCATCTTCTAAACTTATTTCAAATAGGAGGCAAGATAGAAACATTTACTCCCGGAATTCCACTTTATTGTATGTAGCATATATCTATAGCACTTTGTATGAGCACATTATTCAGACCCACATTTCAGACTCTTCTGGCATGAAGTCACAGTATGCTTTTAATATAAGAATGATGGTAGGCAGGCTGTGCTGCCTTTGCTTACTGAAACATGTCAGGCTGTAATAATGGCATTAACTGCCTCCTTGTATACGGGCTGAGCAGCCTTGCAACATTATTCTGCTCAGTGCGTGGCAGCTACAGTGTCATCCTCCTGCATCTGCGATGAGGGCTTTTGGCTTGTGTGTCTTGTTTTGGCAGAGGCAGTAGTGTAGTGCTGGTTACAAAGAATAAAGAAAAGAAAGTTCGCTGGTTGGGGAAGTAATGCAGTAAGTGGTGACCGAGCAGTGATCCTGGTTTTATGAGGTAATGCTCCTTTGCATACTGTCCCTATAAGATTATCAGTATCTCCAGCTGCAGCAACATGTGCATGTGAGAATGTTTGCTGACAGTGCACAATTTATCTCAACATTTATGATTTTCTGGAGGTGAATGATAGTGTTGCATTGGAATGTGTTCAACACTTTCAGCAGGGGATAACATCGTTCAACAGCTGAAAGCACCTACCTGTTCTGCTTTTGACCCTTGGGCACTTCTTCCTGCTGTCGTCTTTGTAACCAGCACAATTGCTTTTGTGGTCACACTGTGAACTTCAGCAAAGGTTCGATGTGGCTGAACTTCTGTTCATCTCGAGATGCTGTTTTCAGCCTATCTGTTCCTGATCTGGTTCCCCAAGCAGCTGCCAGGGTGCAAGTGTTATGGTAGAAGTAACTGCTGAAGGAGATGAGGCACTTTTATTGTGAATCTAATGCCTTAAATTGGTCCAATGAATTTAATGAAGTTTGACTGAACTGTGGACTGCTTCAAATGTAGATAATTTGGGTTTTGCCTCCATTCCATGCCTATCGTATGGTGGTTTGCAGCCCATTTTCTTTCAGATACACCAGTCTTGCCAGTAGTGACTCAAATTAGCTCATGGATGCAACAGAAAGCTAACAGTCAGTTTTCTTTTGGATAGGGAATTAATGTGGCACTAGTGTAGCATTTCAGTTTTCTGAAGCTTTTAAGCTGTATAGTATTTATATAGTATTTTCCCTTTTTAGAAAGGCCTTCATGTGTGAGCTGTGTTTTGTTTGTGGGGTTGGTGGGGTTTTTTTGTTTGTCTGGGTTTTGGTTTTTTTCACTGCTTAGATGGTGGGGTTTCCTTGGTTTTGTGTTTTTACAGTTGTCTGATATCCTTCTGACAATGAGAAAATTAAGCACTAAAATGACTATCATAAGAGGAGTTGTTAAAAAACCCACAACACCCTGATACTGTGATACTCATTGTGTTAGGTGGCTTTAGCCAAATGGTTCTATGTGGAAAGATTGTCGTGCATGGGGAGGTTCTGCAAAATCACAAAAATAGACCTATCAGACTGAAATGTTGTTTTGCTGAGTGGTATTATTAATCCTCCTGATTTAAGGACTAAAAGCATAAACAGGGTCTGAGTAGTTGTGAAGTTGCTATATTAATGTGTATTTGGTGATGGGTACAACAAGTGATAACGCGGAAGTCTTCTGTTGTCTTCTCTCCTCTATTTTTGGCATTATTTTTATCCCTGCACGCTGCACCTGGATGGCTGTCAAGATAGTAAGAAATATTCCCTCAGGAAAGTCCTACCCATTTTCCTGTCTGTGGATAATCCATCTTGCTGAACATTCTGCAGAAGAGTGGTTCAAGTGTCTTCTTTGCTGGAGAATTACTAGAAGAGCACTAGCAGGGCTGTTAACAGAAATCACCTGAGGCTAGAACATTTGCTAATACCAAGTGCTAACCTCTTTCTTTAGTGTGTAGGGTTGCCAAAGGCTAATGAGGCACATCCAACTCTCTCTGAGATCTATTTTTTTTTTTTTTTTTTTTGTGTGTGTGTGGCTAGGAGTAGGCAATAATCCGTTTAGAAGCTGGGTTGATAGCAGGGATCTCTGGGAGGTCCTTTGATCCTCCCTTAAAAACCTTTGTGGTTTGCTACTGTTGTGCTGAGGAGGAGAGATTCACTTGTAGAATAAGCTGCTGTACTGTGGGGGATTAAAACCTCAAAGCTTACATGGTGGGTTGTTTTGTTTTTATTTGAACTCCAGGTAACAAGAAAAATTGGGCTATAAATAGAAAGCTTAACAGTGGGAGTAATATAATATAGATCGTTTCTGCACGTGAGTGAATGACCTTCATAACTAACATATGAGTCACTCTAGTAAGAATAAATTGGATACAAAACAATTAACTGCAGTGGCTTTACTCGCTAGCTGATATGCTAGACTGACAAAAAAACCCATCTTGTTTTTGTTTTTTGTTTTATTTTTACTTTACTGGGCATAGTGCTTGTTTTGGAAATAATAATTTTGGTGGTAGGCTCCCATATTTCCTTGCCCAAGCGCTGGTTTACTTTCTGTTGTTTTAAAGGTAATAACAGGCCATCTTTGTACTGAAAAAAACTTGTTCTGGATGGAAAAAAGAAAGGCATAATACAAAAAAACTCCACCTGAGCTAGAACAAAATGTTATCACTTGTTGGTCTAGTGTATGTAGGATAAATGTTTGGTCCTGCCATGTTTTATTAAATAACTGTGGAAGCCAGAGGAAGGATAGGACTATTTCTGTTGTTCTTGGCATTTTGTCTTTGCTGATGGGAATGTATGTCTGAATCTTGGTGGCTGCCTTTGTTCAGTATAAATACATTGTGACATTTCACTTCTGTTAAGTAATTGTATGTAAACCCCATGGTAACTGATACTTTTTTGTTACCGTATTGATTGCTTTAGTATAGTCACTGTTGCATTAATGTGGTTTATCATAAATTGGCTTGGATTTTGTTGAGGGTACCAGATGTGGAATAAATACTGCATTTCTGACCTTTGCTTTGTCAATTTGTAGTTCTGAACAGTTACAAGAGTCTTTCCTTGCTTTCCTACTTCTATTTGCTGCTATCACCAGTTTCTACGTTTTTCTTAGTGTAAGCTCATTCTGAGCAGTGTTTCGGACTTACCTTTTGATACTGAGTCCCTACTTGTAAAACTTGGTAAAATTGTTGGTACTGTACAAGACTCGCTCTAGGAGAGTTGTGATTGATGGAGTAGCAGAAGTTCTTAAACTTTTCTGATTTTAATGGAAATATTATGTTTCTTGAGTATCTGTTATATGATTGCAATTTTATATGTCGTCCTCTGTTTTCAGCACACTAGTAAAAACCAGTTTTCAGATACTTCTAGTAGTAACTATTTTTTAGGAGAATGTGATAAAGTAAATAAGGATTACTTGGGTAGGTGCCTGGTGTTCTCCTTCCACCCCCACCTCCCCTTGTATTGTTTTGTTTTTGAAATAGACTATTGTCTTTCTGATGGGGATGAAACAACAGCTGTTCTGCATGACATAACAGTTGTACTTGAATTTGAAATGTCATTTTATCCATGACTCCCTTTATTTATCCTCTCTTTCCCCTGCTTGGTGGGGACTGAATGCTGCTTTGAGACACTCTGTGTAAACCTCCCTACTCTGCTGCCTAAATGTGCATCAGAATAAGTGTTTGAAGTACCTAATGTGGCAAGTGCTAAAATAAACACTTTGATTATAAATAAACACTAAGATTATAAGTCATCAATCCCTGGCTGCTGTTTTTGTATTTCATTAAATGATATAACCTATCTGGAAGTTGCCTTTTCAAGATCTCATTGTGGTGATCCACAATAAATCTCAAATGGAATAAAGCTAGAAAGTTCAGGTACCTATGTGCAATATTTTAAGATTCATTAAATTCAAATTCTAGGAGTTTAATCTGTAGTGCTACTCTTTACACATTGGAAAAAACTTAGTCTGGCAGCAGGGTGTGTAGAGCTGCTGAATGATTTGCCTTATGGTGGCTTGGTGTGTAGGGATCATGGTTGTGCGTCTGAGCAGTGCTAAATCTGTCAAATGCTAACTGACTGGACATAGTTAGCCTCAAATGAATGCTGATTTAATTTTGATCATACCTCCAAGTGTGTTACGCTATATGAACATGCGGTGGAAACAATAATGTGTTTGTAGCTCTTGCGGCTTCTATTATACTGAAAAATGTGAAAGTGTTTACATTAGGTTTACTGGGGTTTTTTAATTCTGAGCAGCTGAAAGAAATCAACTACTTTTTATAATTATTTTTAGGTCCAAAAGAGAGACAGAATTTAGTCCAGAAGGAGCATAGAAATTGCCTTTTTGGTTAACTCTTCAGTTGCATCAAGTATTTCAAAGCACGAATCTTATATAAAACAAATTTATTTTTTAACTGCAAATTCCTAATGATTAAATACAGAATCACTCAGTAATACTGACCTCTTAATGTTGTCCTTTGTTTTGCAGAAGATCCTTTTGAGGACTTCTTCGGTGTCAGGCGGGGTCCAAGAGGAAGCAGAGGTGGTGGATCATTTTTCTCTGCCTTTGGTGGATTCCCTGCTTTTGGAAGTGGCTTTTCTTCATTTGACACAGGTAAACATCACAAGGATCTTCATATAATAAGCTGATGAACACTTTTTAAAAAGTTGCCTTCATTCAGGAAATTAAGGCTGCACTTTATCTGTTCTCTGTGAAGTCTATATGTGAGCAAAGGTATAGTTAAAATGTTTGGTCTACCTGAAAATTCATGAAAAGTGAACAGACCTCTAAAAGGTAGAACTTTGTATTCTTAATTTTGGTGCTACAATTTCTATATAGCTTTAGAAATGGTTTTGTTCTGTTTAGTTTTAGGTGTTGGGTGTATGATGGCTCTTCCTTAAGGTCCTAAAAATACACTGTAAAAATGTGTGGCTAAACCCCATGGTATTACTTACTGTTAGTTCAGGGGTATTCAATCTGAATGCAGATGTCTGTATCTCAGAGATTGCTGTGAGTTGTTGTTACTCTGCATCCTTTCAAGTATTAAGACTCTGGATATTAGTTGGGATACTGGTGGTGGAAAACTTGTTCTGTCCGCTAACTCAGGGAATCCCAACATTTATATTAACGCCAAAAATCAGATTAATTAAAGTTACTAGCTTTATCTTAGTGGATAGAATGATGCAGTGGTTGAGTTCAGCAAGCAGACTTGAATGCCTTTTCTTCAGGGGAGGAGATGACGAATGGTTTTTGGACAATGCTGTGTGTTTGGAATTGGAAATACGGGTCCATACGTCTGGAGCTGTGTTTTTACTCTCACACTGGTGTTTAATGCCATCTAATCACTGATGCTGTGTTGATTTGGATCCCATGGTCATGCGAAATATTGTTCTTAGTCATGTACCTTCTTTCCTAATAGGTTTTACTTCGTTTGGTTCACTGGGACATGGAGGCCTTACTTCGTTCTCCTCTACGTCATTTGGTGGCAGTGGGTTGGGTAACTTCAAATCGATATCAACCTCCACTAAAACAGTTAATGGCAGAAGAATTACTACAAAGAGGTAAGTGATAAAAATATCTATATGAAACTATATGTAGAGACACGCATAACTATAAATACATGCGTGTAAGTATACTATATGTATATACACATAAATATAGTGATATATACATGTGTATGTATTTTTACTTCGACTGTTGTGGTCATCGCATTACTTGGATTTCTCTGAATGCTTAAAAATTTTTGAGAAGTTCTACTGGTTCTTTTTTTGTCATTGCTGAGTTACTTAAAGCTGTAGCATGTGAAAATGGGAAAGACAGTGTTCTTTGTCTAAACTCTTCGTAGTTGAGGAGGGTTCAGATGTGTAAAACATGCTGTCAGAACTGCCCTTGTGAAAAACAAAGCTTGCAACTTGTTTGTTGCTTGAAAGGGGCTTGGCAATGGAAGTCTTCCTGGCCTTCAGAGCCTCTGGTGTAGGGGTGCATCTTTTATTATGGTCCTTGACTACTGTCTACCAAGTCTGCTTGAGCTGCTGGAAGGGAAAAGTGCAGGTGGTTTCTGTTGATGGTGGAGCTTTTAACTGGGGATTGAGAGGACAATTAATTTTGCAGACATTATGAAATTTTTCCCTACAATCTGCTCTAGGTTGCTTTCCTAGGCAGTGTTTGGATGAATTTTTTGCGTAAAAAGTAATTTTCTTTTATCTGCAGCTGAAACCTGCTTTAGAGAAAACTTTTCTTACTTGTTGGAAAGTGACTTTTCAGCTGCTGTACACAGTGTATCTTCTTGTGTTTCATGCTTGTGATGAGGAAATCATTGCAGTTGGGAAACCCAAATATTAGTTGACTATAGAGTAACCTACATGGAACACTATTGATCAATAAATTATAGGAGTACTGAACAAGTAGTTAAATGTAATTTCAGTAATTAATAAAAAGTTACAGAAAAGCAATGGAGAACCAATTTTTTTGCTGGGTAACTTTTGTCCCATACTTCAGAGTGCAAGATTGTTCTCTGTCCTGTTGTACTGGAGAGATCTTGTTTTGGCCACCTAAGTGCAGCCTTTGTCACCATGTGCTGGTGTGGTCATGATACTTTCCTGTGAGTGTATTTCAGAAAAATCTGAAAACTGAGGTAATTGTACCAAGTGAGAGAGAGCAAAGAAAGTGTTGATGCAAAAGAAGATAAGGCACCATGTCTGTTTTAGTATTACAAAGATGGCTAAATCAAGTATGTCATGTCATATCTTTTGTTACCATATTTAGAAAGTGGGGGGGAGAAGCAAGAAATATGGTTAGCCACATCTAGGAAGATACATTTAATATCTCCAAGAGGTCCTGTTTTTTTGTAGAAGGTCTGCCCATAAGGTAGCTAAGTGTAAAGAAGAGACGTATCCCAGCATACCCAATGAAAATCTTCTGAGTAGTATTTTGTTTCAGGCAGGAAGCCATTCTCTCTTTTTTCAATATGGGTGTATTCTCTTCAGTAAGTCTCATCACCAGAAAAATGTGTATTCATCCATGTGGTTTCCTCATTTGGATCGTGAGGGGGAGAATTCCCAGATAGTTAAAATTTAGGCATAAATTAAATATTCTAAGAATAGTTTAACCATTCTTTATCTTTCCATGTCTAAACCAAGCAAAGCTCAAACCCATGGAGCTCTAACAATAGTCAGGGATATTTAAATTTTGCAATGTGCATGCTCGTCATAAAGTTGGTATACAGTAGGCCTGCAAATTAATTGCTCTGTTAAATTTAAAGAGGCTTAAAGACTGTCTTGCATGTGTTGCATCATGCAAAACTGTGATTGGATCTAGATTATTAAGTGTTTAACAAATGGCTAGGTACTAAGTTCTACGTCAAGATTGTACAGCTGATCTGTCAAAAGACATTTAGCCTTAATTAATAGTGTAATGTCAGTACAACGTTGACAGTGTATGAGGTGACAGCTGTAACTGTGAGCTCTACAGACTGGAGGATTCGAACTTCCAGAAGGCGATTTTCCACCTATAAATGAGAGTATCAGTAGGGGAATGCAGATGGCTACCAGTTACATCTTCTGTACTGTTAAATAGAAAAGCTTGCCAACAACAGTTGCACTAAGCAGGCAGTGCTCCCTTATAGTTCGTTATCTAAAAACCTAGGTCTGGCATATATTTTCAAACTGCTTACAGGGCTTTAAAATGGCTGTGGTTTTTGTCCTACAGAATTGTTGAGAATGGACAAGAGAGAGTAGAAGTTGAAGAAGATGGCCAGTTAAGGTCGCTAACAGTAAATGGTAAGGAGCAGCTGCCACGCTTGGATAACAAGTAATTCAACGCACGCATTTAACAGAATTTTAAGCTATAACAGCCACCATTTGAGGATTGACAGGAACATTTTTTTGAAGATTTCAAACGAACTCGACTTTCTGTATATCCGTACTTAAGTAGTATAAATAGCTCACCGAAGCTCGTATTTGTCATAGACTTTTGAGTTAATTGTTGGGACCACATCAATTGGACCATTCTTTTGTCCTTAAAATTGTTGTAAATTTCTGTGTGCACTTTTCTTTTTATTATATATGATCAAGGTGAACTTAGTAGTGCTAGGGCAAGATGTACACTAACACTAGCATGAATCTTGCTTTTTCCAATTTGAAATGTGAGCCAATTAGTAGTTTTAAGTCTGCTGTGAAGTTAACATTTCCAGGATAACCTTTTTAATAATTTCAACTTTTTTTTTTTAATTAATGTTTAATAGTGAACAATGTTAATACATTTCTGGTAATGCATTTCTGGTTTAAATAAATTAAGGATGTTTTCTAGTTGTGCATGAATGCAGACAACTTAGTAAGTTTTGACAAATGTTTCAATGTGTAATGTAAGCAAAAGGTAAACAAAAGTGAAGCCAGTGAGCCGAGTCTTTTGTCATTTGCTAAAAAAAAAAACCGACATGAATAAATGCTGATGTTTGTGGTGCATTCTTTCATGAATGGCATTTGTAACCTTCTTGTGTCTGTGTGTGATTTGGGCAACTTGGGAAAAGAGTGCTTTTTCTTAGTTGTATTTTTTGTCTTTTCTCCTACAACCTTTTCTTCAGTCTTCAAGGATGAGGGTCTTTTTTCTTTGCAGATGTTTTCTTCAGTATGACTGAAAACATGTTGTTTAATTTCTTTTCTAAACTTGTATTTGAAGCAGCTATTTTAAAGAAGCGTTCAGATGCTGACTCTTAACTCCATCTTTTGCCCTGGTACATAATTTTTTTTTTTTTTTTAAGCTAAGCCTAACGTAACAGTTTAAAAATAAAGTTCTCTAAGTTTTAAATTCTAAGATTGCTTTGAAAAATAATCTGTAGTGAACATAAATATACAGGAAAATAATAATTAAGATTTGTTTGGGGCCTATAAGGATTTTGGGGAGGGACTCTTCATTAGGGACTGTAGTGGTAGGACAAGGGGTAATGGGTTTAAACTTAAACAGGGGAAGTTTAGATTAGATATAAGGAAGAAGTTCTTTACAGTGAGGGGGGTGAGGCACTGGAATGGGTTGCCCAAGGACGTTGTGAATGCTCCAACCCTGGCAGTGTTCAAGGCCAGGTTGGACAGAGCCTTGGGCGACATGGTTTAGTGTGTGATGTCCCTGCTCATGGCAGGGGGGTTGGGACTAGATGATCTTAAGGGCCTTTCCAACCCAAACCATTCTATGATTCTATGATTTTGAGGACAGACACATTTATTTTGTAGATTTTTATGAAATTATTAGTGCTAAAATCTCACTCTTATTTTAAGTCATCAGCCAAAAATTACAAGATGGATTAATGCCTTTTGTTAACTTAATGGAGTGAAGCAAAGTGTTAATTTGTAGCTAAGACCAGATTTTCAAAGTTTAGTGAAAGATAACTTAACTTCTGTATGTCATAAAGAAAGCATGCAAATAACTATTGGTGTATGTTAACACCTGCCAGGCTCAGAGTAATTTCATGCATAAATCATGGCTGTGCAGTTTTTATCTGTGCACCAGCTTTGAACATCTGGCCTTCACCAAATTATTTAGGGTGGCTTAGTATTTAAAAAAAAAAAAAAAAAAGAAAAAAAAGCATGGTGTTTTCAAATGATCACTTAATGCCTTCTTGCTGAACACCATCTGCTTTGTACTAACAAACGCGTTGATTATTAAATACATTGAAAAGATTTGGTTTTGTTTATCATGCAGGACACCCAGTTCAAGTTACCCCAAACCAACCATCTAACAGGCTGCTACAGCAGAATTCCCATTAGCAGCAAAATAAGTATTTGTACATTTGTCCCTCTACCGTTAATGCTCATTTTGTAGAACCCAACAAAATAACAGGTAGAAGAAGAAATAAATACGTAGTTTGGTTTTGGGACTACAGAAGTTACGTACCTTCTCAAGTTCTTTGCAGAATTCTTGTTACTTCAGTGTTGTGTTTTTGGTGTAGAAGCACAAACTCAGTTTAGAACTAAACAGTGTTTTCTTGTTAATGCTGTTTTTTCTTATCCATGTATGTTCCTTCTTAATCCAGATAACTAAACAGAAAATTTATTTCAAAATCTGGCTTTGTTGTGATGTCTTGAGTTATTAAAAATGTTAATTTATATTTATAGGACACAGTGTGCTCCTTTAAGTTATGTTAACTGTAAAAAGTGCTTCAAAATTGGTTAACCAAGTCAAATAAAATTAGGACAATCTGGAGCTGAGTTTGAATTCGTTCCTGTGGATACCCGTAGGTTTTGCATTGAGTTGCTAAACTTCACCTTCTATTTTAATTCCAGGCAATCTTCCTTTAACATTTAAATCACCTACCTCAAGAACATGATTATGATAGCATAGCTGCTAGTGGCAAATCTATACCCACATGCTTGCCTTACATATTCTTACCCGGAAAAGTGCAGTCCTTCTCAGGGTCTTACGTACGAACAGTTCGCTTCAGGGTGAAACTGGCAAAACAAACCTGGCAAAACAAAAACAGACAAGAAGAAATGAGTCAGCAGAAGGTAGAATTCATCAGTGTGGATTTCTACAGTAGTAAGCAGATACCTGTATACCAGCGTTCGAACAGGCTGGTGGTGGACTAGGTTGAATACATGGTATTGGTCCAAGTGGACTAGCAGTTCCGGATGTAAGTCATCTTAAACTTGATCTAAGCCTAATAGGGCTCCACCTGTTTCAATGTGCAGAACAGAGTGTTTTGGTTTATTTTAAATAATTCTGCATCCAACTTTATTTTCAAGACACAATAAATCCTCATTCTGTGTTTACTGGAGATCCAATTTAAATTCTTCCTATTACATATATACTCAATTTCTTATTTATGCTGCTGAAATGAGTTTTTCTCTTGAAAACCCACGTACTAGTTTGCTGTGAAGAATTTATGTCATTCCTTACTAATACGTAATTTGCATGGATGTACAAAACCTACTTGCTAGGAATGATGGATCATCAAAGGCAGCAAATTTCCTTAAGCTTAAATTTTGGCCCAAATAGCACAAAAAACTTAATAACAGAAAAGGTTTGCAATTGAAGCAAATGCTAGGCATCAAACAGAGGGATGAGGTAGCTTTCCAAACCAGATGCTGTTTGGTTCAAAGTAGCATTTCTTCATAGAGGACGGATTAATTCTGAATGTTTAGGGACATCATCCCATTTAAATTAAGCTTCCTCCAGTGGTTTGGAAAAAACTAAGATGGAGTTCTTGAACCTACTAAGTCACTTACTCTTTCATGCTCTGCTTCAAAGTTCATTGGTAGAATACAATGACTTTGCAATGCTTTTTCTTGATGCAACCTCTTTTTGGTCTCTGGTGCATGGCAGTAATTTCAATGCAGTACACTGTAACACAAGTTCCTCTTTCAATTGCATGGTGCCTACCCCTTTCACTTGGCTTGAATTGAGAGTTTGGGATTTTTGCTTTAGAATGCTTCGCGTTTTAAAACTGCTGCAGCTATCATAGTTCTCTGTTCTTACAACGCCCTTTCTGTTGAGAATTGCAGGCATTGGTGGTACAAGCAACAACAGCAAAACTGTTCTGCAGACTAAGCATACATAGTGTTTGTAAGATGTATACTGTATCACCTTGTGATTAGTTGATGGACTGAATCTTAGAATGCTGAAAACGAGATTCTGTAAGAAATCACCATCTCTAAGCTGAAGGGTTTTCTATCTGTCAGTGTTTCTGTTCAGCTATGCTGTTTGCTTCCCCTCAGTGTCTTGGCATTAGGTGTAAGTGGAGGTTTGTCTTCTGTATTTAGCTGTACTTCTGTGTTTCAGAAGAACACATCTCTGAGATGGTCCAGTGATAAAGAAAGTGAGATTTTATTTTTGGAAATGTGAGTTCTGTTCCTGATTCTACTTCTGTTCTGTTTGAGAAATGAGCTTGATAGTTTGTCTTTGTTTAATCTGTGGTGGTAACAGGGTAGTGCTTATTTCTAAAGGTGGTTGCATTGCAAAATGAACTCTATAGCTGTGTGATGCTTATGGTCCAAGAAGTTTTGAAAAGTGCTTGGTGTTAGTGTGATGCTTTAACTTAGTATCAGAATATTTGGTAATCGTTTTTTTGGAAGCATTTTGTAGTAATTTTGGTAAACCTGTGTCTTGAGTTGTGATTTTGGATGTCTTGGAATTTAGGCTTTTTTTTGTTTGCTTGTTTTAAATTCATGGTGTTGCAGTGCAGGCATTTGTTTGATCTGCCAGTCACCAGTAACCTGAACTTTGAAACTTTACTTATTTTGCCATAGGAGAAGGGAGCCTGTTTGCACTCTCTGCTCTCTTGGCTCTTCTTTACCTTGGGACTGAATTGTGACCACAGTACTCAACATAGACAGTTTGGGTTTTCTTGTAGCTATTGCTTGTCTTCAAGTGGTTGTCTTAAGTAAAGCCTTTTTATATTCCAGCCAAAATGTCGAAATTTTCCTTACGTTGCAATACTGCTGGAATGAAGTATGTTTACTTTGTTAATGTTACAAACTATGCCTTTTGAATTTATAATTTTAGTGGGTTTACTGCGTGATCTGCTTTGGTTTTGGAAAAAAATCCCTTGACTGGAATTGGTTGTTGAGTGAAGTGCACTGCTGAAAAGTTAGAGCAGAAGACGGTTGGTTTATACTCTGCTTCACAAACCAGTAAGCCTCGTTTTTAAGATGTTGCTGTCAGATTTTAAAGAAATATGATAATTAAAATGCTGTGACCATCTGAGCCATAACCCTGAACCTCTGCAAGCTGACTGCTGTTTCCAACTCATTGGAACCTCTCTGAAAGCTATGTTCTGGCAGACTTGGCG